CGTTTCTGCTTCTTTGGAAGAATGAATTCACCCGTTGATCCCTTTCAACAAACGACGTTTCGATTCTCTAAGATAACTGTCGTATTTTCTCCATTATATATAATTGGTAAAACTATTCCTTCGTCTTCTTCCTTCAAATCTTTCATGTTTTGCATTTTGTTTTGAAAAAAAAGGGTGCTTGGAGAAGCATTGTGTCGTATCTCGTACGAGATTCACGAAGTAGAGCTGCGGATTGAGGTAGAGAAAGAAGAAATGGGATATTCGCGCCCTCAAGCCCTAGATTTATATTTTTAATTTATTTTATCGAATTATTTGTCTATTTTATGTTATCTAATTTTGGCTGTAACCATATCCGGGATCTTCTATATCTCTTTCGCTGGCATTCTGGTATATTGAAGTAGAGATGCATTTTTCTACTTGAAAATTTTAAGATACCTCTATGATTGCAACCGATTGCCTCCTTTATCATTAAACTCGTGTCCTGCTCTGCACCTATCCACAAAGCCATTTTTCTTACCTTTTTTTTCAGTTATTTTATATATCATTATTTCAGGTGTTCGATGCTAATATTTATTATGTTATTGATAACATAAGAACCCAGTATATGAAAAGCTATGTAAGCTTAATCTAAGCCATTTTTACGCAGGAGTTTGTGACAAACAACTAAAGAACAATGACGATTTTATCTACGCAGTAAACAACATTTGTGGGAAAGTTAATCATCGACGTGGAATTCCTAGATCTTAAGATTGTGCCACAACCTGTCAGAAAAGTTTTCTTCGTATAAGATTATTCTCCTCCTACATCTGGCACAATAAGTTATAATTTCTACATAGTTTAATACATCAAGTAGTTTTTCTCATAAATATCTTTTTTTTTTTTTTGTGCCACTATCACCCTCAAAATCTTTGGATGCCTTTGTAAGATTCTGCAGCATTGTTTGTGTTGCATAAGGAATGTTTGACTGAAAAGGAGATGATAATAGCCAATTAAATCTCCACCAACATGCAGTTGCTTCAACTGTGTCTACAGTAATAGTTCATATGCAATTAGAATGCGAGTTTTGTTTTCCATTTGTATACACTATATAAGTATGTCGATTTATATGCTGGTTACAGGTTTCCTTTGAATATGTCAAGTTAACTTGAAACAGTTTTGGGTTTATCTATATTTAAGAAATAGTGGTGTGTTTATGTCTGGCTAAACTTGGGCTTTAAGAAAAAAGTTAGTTGAGAATTAAGATTTATTTTTTGTGAAAAGTGGTTTATGGAGGTGTAATAGGGTTCTATACTATGTATTGGATCATTTAATCATGAAACATACTCATCATGCTTTAGTTGGGTGGATTATACTTAGTTAAAATTCTTGGATGAGAAAATTTCATTTTTTATATATTTTGGTCGAAGGACTCTTTATGAATTGTGAACCCAGGACAAAATTTTCAATTCATTTTTCTATCACATTTATTTTCCTTTCAACTACAGCGACTTTCTTGTTGTTAATCTTGTTCTTAATTATCTGATTCCTCTAGCAATGTCTATCAATCAATTATTTTCTTTTCATTGCTACTCCTTTGCTTAATTTGTTGCCCTCTATGTTTCCTTCCCTTAAAAAAATTTAACTGGGTTATCCGAAATATTTTTTTTCAAGAAATGAAATTGACATATTTCTATGAAAAAATATGATAGAGAGAAGATTTCAATTGAGTTGAACAATTTTTTTTACCGTGGAAGCACATTCTATTCTACATAGTCAGTTTTTCAAAATCATCATAGAAATCTTGTAATACTTGAAAATCATGTCAACCATGCATATTTTTTTGTTTTCTAATTTTGAAAGACACCCCATACTTTCCAAGTAATTTATGTGTAAAAAGATCACAAATTAAATGTTCCTTTTGTAAATCATCTGAAGGTCATGGCATTGATTTAATTGGTTGAATTTGAAATGAATTTTTTTGTTAATTCTGGAATGAATTTTCTTTTCTAAAAGCTTTTCTTAATGTTAATTCCAATAATGAAATTTTTTCTAAACGTTTTTTTGTGACAGTTTTAATTCTGTAGATTGTGAAGAGAATGCTCCATTGTTTTCTGCTAATGTTTTAGCAATTGATCCTTAATATTTAAGTAATCCGTTTGGTGTTCATCTTTGTGTCAGCTATTCCAATATTCATTCTATAACTTTCCATAATCAACTTTATGATCCTGGCTTTTTCTTTTTGGGAACCTTATCATACAAAACATTCTTATGAGATTCATTTCATTTATCTAGCTTAGGCAAACTGTTCCCTTATTGTCTTATAAAACTCAAGGAGACTAAATTTTTGAGATTTATGTCAAGGAAGCGATTCTTATCGATCTGCATACCAAGGTCAAAGACCAGAGTTCAAAATTGGATTGGAGAAACAAATGGTTAGAGATCCAAGAGATAACAAGGAAGTTGGCTATGACGAGAGTAATCATCCCCAGACATTTGAGGATCTTGAAGAGAAATTCCTTGAAGACATTATGAAATTGACAAAAGAACAACAGGAAGCAGGGGGCAAGGAAAATACATGGCATAGAGAGGTAAATTTGATAACTTTTTTTATTTTCTATTTTTTTAGCAGCGGCAAATTCATCCTGCATTAAATTTGATTTTTATGATCATCTTCTTACATTGTTGCAGAGACCAAGACTAAGTGAGATTAATACTCAATATCAAGAGAAACTGGTAATGGTTCAAGCTCAACAGACTAGAGATGAGTTTCTTCGCAAGGAATCATAGCTTCTCCATAAGCAATACCAGTAGGCTAGATCAGGTAACAATTGCTAATGTTGGGATTTTCAAATTTTCGTCAATTAGTTGTTAATTTTCTCCTTAATTGACTAATTTGATAGACATTTTTAGAAACTCGTCAATATTTCCATCAATATATTTGTAATCATTTATATGATATTTATATTTGCCAAACTTTTCTTTTACATAAGGCTTCATTGCCCCAACTGATATCTATCTTCTAAGTTTTGAAGCATATTAATTAAAGCATGGCTTTGGCACTTGGGAATACTACTTTTTCTATTCAAGTAATTCAGCGGCTAACGTTGTTGTAAATCTCTTGGCTTTAAATGCAGTGCAAAAACTTATGATTTGCTCGAAGAAGGCATGAAATGGAAATGATCTCTATCTAGATGAGGACTTGGAAATATCATCCATGCTTGGTAGAATCAGATTCCCTTCCCATCTCCTATTTAGTGCGGCCACTATTGTTTTGTAGGTAAGAATCAATCTCTCATATAAAATGTTCAGCATCAACATTCAACAATAGGAGAAAAGAAGTCTATGGAAAATGATAATGATGATATATTGTTAAATGTGAACATTTTGCTCATGTATGTCTATTTTTATATGTAAATGTTCAAGTGAGAGGATCGGCATTTGGAGGGAGGGAAGAGTGAATATGGACTACTTTCTGCAAAAAATATTCAATTTTTAGTTCAATTTTTTTCTAATTTTTTATGAAATGGGCTTATCTTAATTAGAAATTTCTTTGATGCTTTATAATTTTGTTTATAGTTGCATCATGTTTGTGGATGTTGATTGCACTTTTTGGTACTTTAGATTTCTCATTTGAGGCCAGTTGACTACTAGAGAAGTAGATTAATAAGGACTCGCAAGACAGTTCTTTTCTACCGTTCTACTCTTTTGACTTCAAATATTAGGTAATGAATTTATCTATGTTATTTTAATTGATATATTACAACTATCAAGCATTTTTTTATTCATGATTTAGCATGTATATGTTTTAATAAGAAATCATTTTTCTTATATTCTTTTTTTCTTGCTCCCTGAGCTTTTTATTTCTTGAAGTACTTCAATTTTATTGAGATATTATTGCGTACTTCTCAAACGATCAACAAATTTGGTTGACATCCTTCCTACTTATTCTATTTGTTTTTGCTATCAGTTTGATAACTAATCTCCAAGGAAAGATTTTACTCTAATAGTACTATTCTTATTCTCTGAGGAAAAGTGTGTCCCATATTGTTTATCTATTTATGTACATATTAAGTTATCAACTGAACTCTACACTTATGAGAACAATTCTATTATTTCCATTACTCCTTAAAAGCCTGATTCTATATATATAGATATTAAATGCTTAAATCCAATGAGCTTCTATATATATAGTTATTACTCTTTCTCATTGTATTTATTCAATATTGTTTTTCTGATAAGTTTATATTCTTGTAGATAATGTTCTATGTCTGACTTAGTTTTTTTTAATGAATAATGTAATATTCTAATGGATAATGGATATTATATTGATGTAAAAAATGTCAACCGATTAGGACACTATGCTGAGAGAAGACAAGAAGAGGTTTGCAAGCGGGAAAGCAGAGGAGATTTAGAAGAAGAAAAGTAATTCTTGTATATTAGAAAGGTGTTACAGGAGATGTATATATAGAGACATAAATGGCAAATAAGTAAAATACAATCAGTGAGATAACTATAGGTGCAGAGGTGCTAATATATGCATTATACATTAATACACTTTTTACTTTTCATCTAACACACTTCAAATGAGTATATTTAAAAAATAATATAAATTTATATTCCTATTGATTATGTTATGTATAAATCCTATGCAAATATACAAATATTACATGTAATATTCATAATGTATTTATTATCATCATATGACACATCATAAATTAATTTTTAATTTTATAATATTATTTTCTTAGTTTTTAAAATTTTATTAACGTGCACCATGTGCACGTGTATCTATACTAGTACTATATAAAAATGGCTTGGGATTCCACCCAAATGCAATCCTAGCCTTCCATTTTATTCATTAAAAGAATTTATCCTGACCCTTCATTCCATTTTATAATCCTAAAAATATCATAAAATCATTAAATTTAATATTTATTCTACATAATAAATTCTTAACCGTTACCCTCTTCCTTCCAATTGCACAACCACCAATTCCTATTCAACTTCTTCCGCTGTAATAAATTTTCTATTAAACCCTTATGTTATCTAATATTTCAAGATTTCTTCGTTTTTTCTCGGCTTGCCCTACCTCACTCCTCTCAGCTGACGATTAGGCTTCTTTCGTAATAAATTTTTAATTCCTCTCAGCTAGCCATTAGGCTTCTTTCGTAATAAATTTTTAATTTATTAAGCTAAATTCTGTTATGAATTGTTGCTCTTTGACTGTTCGGCTTGCCCAACTTTCGGAGTTCCTCCGACGGCGACGGTAGGTTTCTCTTCAATTTTTGTAACTTCACTTATTTCTCTCCTTACCGTCATGTATTTCTTTTGCATTCCAGTCTTTCTCTAAACGCCTTGCCTTCTCCTCCTCCTCCTTCACCTTCTCCTCCCGTCGGCTTCGCATGAGGATTTTTAAAAAGTCGTTAAAAGGAGCTTCTTCGCTTTCGGACAAGGCTCGCTCTTTTCAAACCTGCGAGATGACATAGGAAATTTTAGAGGACCTACTAGCGAAGGCGAACGAAGGATTTGAAAGCTCCGAAAGGTCTTAGGCTTAGACGAGCTTCCTCTCGAATCGGAAAAATTTTGCACACAGGTCTGATCGCTATTATTTTGCTATTTTATTATTCATTTCCATTATCTTCTTAGTCGAAAAATGGCTCCTACCATTTGATCTTAACATATGAGGTGATGGAGCAGGGAAGGGGACTAAGCTAGGCTGCCTGATTTCATTTTCAAGATCTTGCTGCATGGAGGATGAGAAAGTGGAGGAGAACGAAGGGAGATATGACGTGGCGGCTGCCATGAAGGATTTTTTGGGAGGACATGGAGGTGATGTTTATTATTTGATTATTTTTTTGCTGCTCTGCTTAATAAAAGTGAGATTTATAGGGTTTCGGTTCTCTTTTGTAGTTCATTTTAATAAAAATTGGATTTTGGGGGGCTGTCGGTTCCAAGGATTTTAGTATAATAGAAGTTTGGAAACGTTAGTAAATCATGGGAGTGTTGTTATTGAGAACTGTTTGGTTGTCAGTATATTTAAATCTATAAATCTTTAAACTGTTGGAATGGATGGGCTTATTTGGCTGTTTGAAATTAGAAAATAGGTTTTTAAATATTATGTATTTATTATATTTCATTATTTGGCTGGATTCATTCAGAAATCAATATGGATTTCAACTCAGCAAACTCCTTCAAAATTCTTAAAGGATGATGATTTCATTTTAACGCTGAAAATGAAACTATAATTTCCCTTAAATATAATTTCCATCTAAAAAACTTCCAAATCAACCCTAATGTAATTTACGAAATCCTTAAATCCTTCTTTAAATTTCAAAATCAAAAGCTTAGGCCTTTCCATCCAAATTCTGGATTTATGAAATCTAAATTTTATAGAAGAGTTATATATATATATATAATATGTTTGTTTGAATTTGGCCTTAATCTAACCTTAATCATGTATAAATCTTCTTAGAAAATATCCCCTTAGGATTTTTGTGGTTTTGCTGAACCGACCTCTTCGTGTCCATGCAATGACTTTTTGTTTATCAATATCTTGTTTGTCGAATAGAGTTGATAAATTTCTTTTCCTTTTCTTCCTTTATGTAATTCCTTTGCTTATACAAGCTATTTCACAATTTTCTTTCAGTTTTTGAACTTCCTTAGAAACCGTTCGAATAGAGATTGCTATGTTATGCACAAGCTAACCAGAGAATAAGTAGAAGAATTTAAAAAGGGTAATGCTAAGTGGATAACCACTAAGTTTCATATATTAGTCGTGATTATCATTGTGGTCCACCAAGTATCAGTGAGTCATTGCCAAGCCAGCCTTCATATCCATAACTTCTTAAAAGAAAAAGTGGGGCAGCATTAGCATTTGATCATAAGAAAAATCAATTTAGTAACACTAGAAGGGCTTAATTTGAGATAAAGCTTAATTAGATTAGAAGCTGTAAAAGTTTTCTCTGGTAGGATTTTTTTTATTTATTCCTGCCGTAATGTAATCTTGGTTAATTTTACATAGATTTGACTAACAGTATTTTTTTGTTGGATCGTGCCAATAAAATAGCTAAAAAATATGATGCTTTGGAATCAAAAGCTATTTTCATTACAAATTGTAAATTTTGACTCATTGAATTAGCAAAATTGTCTTAAAGAACTAAAGAAACAGGAAACCTTAGAAGGAATCTTTTTTAATGCTTCATTTTAGCAGAGTATTCTTCAGGATTACCTGTCCAATGAGTGTCAGTATAAAAATTTATTCTTTATTGGGTTCTTATCGTTGTGTAATTTCCTTTTTTAAAGCGATCAATTCTTTTATGTTTAACCGAAAATTTTCTTTTTGGTTTGAGAATTGTAGTCTATTTTGGGTTTTTTCTCGCATGGAGCTTTGAAATTTAAACATTTAAACATTACCTTATTCTTGCTTTATGAATTATCAGTTCTTACATATTGTTGATCAAGGACAAAATGAGATCTTATCAAACTTAGGCTTTGGTCGGTTTTGGGGAATAAAGCAGAAAGGTAACTTTTTTTATCTCATGGGTACATTACTTCTTCACTCAACTTCTCAGCCAAATAAGTGGGTTTAACTTAGCTTTAATTCAATTCCTTTATCATTTCTTCTTTTTCAATTTCTTCTATTGCAACGAGAGCTCACCAAGATAAGAATAAATGTGCCACCTGAACACAAAAAGGAATGAAACACAAAAAGGAAAATGAAAGGCATGAAAGTCAAGCATATGATTCCAAGAAACGAGAAAAAGATTCCAAACCCAGTCAGTCCTATGCCGATCTATGTTTCAAGGTAGAAAACATGTCAGCAGATAAAATCATCGACACCAATTGAGATGAAACGTTGTTATCTCGCCTAATGTATTCCAAATGCAGGCAGTCCTACCACTTTAACTCTTTTTTTTTTTAATTTATTCCTTGTATATATTATAGGTTTCAACATGTTATCTCACCTAATTCTTCTCTACACTGCTCTACCAATGGATGAATTATCTTTCCATCTATTTTCATCTCAATAGCCTAATGTCAAGTTTTAACGATAGAAACGTTTTGAAGATTATCAATTGATATAAATAATACTATTAATGGACTTATATTTCCTATATTTTTTTTCTACCGGTATATATATATATATATATATATATATATATATATATGGAATTTAACCTTTAATTTTATACTAATTAAGTTTATGATTTCCTTGTCATTATAGGAAGATGTGGAACCTATTAGCAGAGCTTCACATGGATGGCTAGAGATTTTCGATTTCATGTGCAAGAATTATGTGAAGTATACAATCAACACAAGTAAAATGATTCATTTGCACCAAAGATATGGTACATATTGTGTTTGTCTTATTTCATTGGCGGATGCATTCATTTTTTCTCATAAATCATCCTTTACTTACTAATTTTTATGTATTGCAGTTGTGCAAGATTGACTCAGAGGGAAAGGCAAGAAAATTCATATGGTGCTCGTGTTGTTGTTAAGGTAAATGAAATCTAACCTTCTGCATTAGCTCTAAAAGTTTAATCTTGATGTTCTGATGCATGTATTTTAGAACCATTATATTTTTTTCTAGATTTGCAGGATTATGGAGAGGATTCACAGGGACTTCATATAGTTCACAAATATATGAAATCTCACTGCTTATTTTGAAGTATCAGTATCATAAATGAGTTGAAATATCTTGCTTAAAATTATGAGTGTTTAGTATTTCGAGAAGCATCTGTTTCTGCTTTGAGAAATTTATATCTAGGTTTTCGCCTTCAATTTTGAATCTTGTAGCAAGAATATATTGGAAACCTTTATTTATTGAAGTTGGTTTTAATTGTAATTTCATTAACTTGTCAAACTGTTCATAGAAAATGATCATATTTTGTACTACATAAAATATTCAACTTTATGCAGACTTGAAAATCTGAATTATTTTTTGTTATGAAATTCTGAGCATGAGTACTGCTTCCCACAAAAAATGTTCTGCTTAAGAAAGCATGAGTTTATGACATGAAATTGTTGCTGCTGGGGCTGATACTTTCATTGTTCATGGTTGCTCTTATGTGATCATTGATTTGGGTTAAGGGTAACCTCATGAGAAATAAGACAAATCAAAGAAAACCAAAATCAAAGTTATTATGCATATGTACGTTATGTCAACATTCTTTAATTTGTAATATTTCATTGGTGTGGAATAAGTTTGAATTAACTTTTTCTTTTAGTTCTCGTTAATGTGATGTATGAGAAGGGGGTATAAGATGATGCATTCATTACTCAATTTTATGATCGATAATACACAGTGTAAAACTCATATGCTTGAAATCCAATGAGTTTGACGATGTGTACTTTATCCTTTTTTTAATTCTATTATTATGTATTCTTGTATTTTGTTATAAGCTCATTCATATGTGGAAGATTTATCTTATATGTCTATCTTAATTCAATTTACATGAGTTTTAATTTGTTGTTGCTAATTGTTAGTGTTTCTTATAGTGACCATTCAATATTGTTTGTCATAGGCTTACTTTTTTATTTTAAGTAACTAATTTAATTATCTGATGGATGTCATATTAATATCAATAAATTACAAACCCCTCCCATTAAACATAAGCCTATTTTTTTAATTTTTCATCTAACTTTTTGAGTATATTACATAAATCAGCTATACATATGCAAGCAAATGTTGTATTTAATATTAATATATATTTTAATATCATTAATATAGCATGTCATAAATTATTTTATTTTAATTTTTATGACATATTTTTATTTTTTTAAAATTTTATTCACGTTTATACTAGATTATTATTTTAACACACTTCAAACTATTGTTTATGAAGACTAATACAAGTTTATATGCATATTGATAATTATGTATGAGTCATATACAAATATATAGAAATATTGCATGCAATCTTCATAAATACTTAAATATCAATCATATATCATGTCATAAAGTAACTTTTTATTGGATTTATATGTGTTTTATTTGAAAAAAATTTATTCATGTGCATACATACACGTGCATCATGTGCACGTGCATTTTACTAGGAAGTAAGTTATTTTATACTTGAAAAGCCTGTAAATAACTTCTCAACTCCTGCAAAATTATGGCTTTTCATCAAAACTAGGTACTTAAAGGATGGTAATCCTTACAGGTTACTTCTCATTAAGAAAACATTGATCACAAATGGGCATCCATTACTGTTGAATTCTGATGGATTTGATCTAAAAAATGTATGTAGGTGTTTGCGTTGCTTTTAAGACCCAAAAAGGATCACAAATACCGGCTCTACTGGAACATTTACCACCATGTAATTGACTACACTGTCATAATCCTCAGTGTGATCAACATCTTCAAGGGATTTGATATCTTGGACCCTGAGAGAAAATGGAAGCATGCTTACATTGCTATAATCGTAACTTTGGGTGGCATCGCCGTCGCCCTTGAAGCCATTACTTGGGGCATTGTCCTGAAGAGAAAGAGGTCGGATAGCTCCGATAAGTCGCATCGGGGCACCAATGGTGTCAATGGCCTCAATAGCACCAATGGTTATGGTGCAAGCAGGCAGCATCAGGTAGCTTAGAACAATACATGCAGAAGAGTTATGGTTGAGGATTATTTCCTTGTTTGTGGTGTTTTGTGAGATCTCTTTATCTTCAGATGTTTACAGGCATAGAGAGGGTGGTTGATAGAGCTGTAATTTTTAATAGGTTTTAGATTTGTAGCAGCAGATTTGTCTGTGTTTTGGCTTTTAGATATAGTTTTCTCTATGTTTCTTCATGATTGTATGATCAATGGATTGAGGGTTTCCAGTATAATCTATTGGCTCCTTCTGTATGTAAAATTAGCCATTTTTTTTAATATTTTATTTATATATTGAGCATTATTTTAGTCAGTCTCTTTATAATTACCTAATGGTTTTTTTATTGCTCGAATTTCTCACTAATTTATTTATATTTATTCAATCATTATATTATCATTTGAGTTCATTTTGTTCTTCTATTTTGCATTAAAAATTAGTAATTTTTTTTTTTTTTTTTTTTTTTTTTTTTTTAGTAGTTTGTAAACAGAATTTTAGTAAGGTATAAATAGATATCATGAAATTTTCTTTTAATGGTTCCTGTTTCTTTGCAACTTTTTTTAAATTAGGTTTGGGATGGCTTTTTTTTGTTTTTGTTTTTATATTTGTTAAAATAACATAAATTAATGTATGATTTAGCTTTGTATTTTATTTATGACAAGATAAAGTATACTAAAACATATGGATGTTAACCCACAGTTCTTAGCTTGGTTGGTGGGCGAATACAGTTGGGAACCCCCCAATTCGTGCTCGATTCTTCTCAAGCGGCAGCGCCTCTTAAGTGGGGCCCAATCAAGTGCGGGCTAAGAAATTTCTGGAGCGAGTGCCTCTTCTAGGTCAGCCGAGGATTAGTCACACTACCAAACATTCTTTCGGGGGTGACAGCGGGTGAATACCCGTTCCAAATAAAATAAAATAAAAACAGATGGATGTTATATATATGAAAAAAAGTTATATTTAAAATAATTTTCAGAATACATTGCTCAACAATATGATAAAAATTATAGCATATGAAATGATGTTCTTACGACTTAACTAAGGATTCATTTGAGATAATTTTCTTATTGTTTCTTAAAATAGTTTTAGTACAAATTTTTTTTTTTCAAAAAATTTTGTGCTTAAAAGTTGTTTATAATATAATAAGAAAATTGTCCCAAACGAAATATAAGAGAGGAAAATATAATAAGTCAAATAAATAATTTTTAATATGACCTCCCACTAATTTTCTATGCATAGGAGACAAATGAGGAGAAGAAGCATTCATGATGACAATCAACTGAAGAAAATGAGTTGCCCCAAAAGTTTGAATTAGAGTTGTTATATTGAAAATATATAAGTAGTCATAGTCTTAGCAACAAAATACAAGATGTTATTGGCAATTAATTCTTTAATATCTAATTAATGTTTATAATAAGATCTTAATTACTATTTTTATCATGTAATATGATGGTGTAATATAATATGAAAAAACTTTTTAGCAATGGAAAATAACATACATAAGAAGTCAACTGCCCATGATGAGAACTTAGGGGTTAAGATAATTGGGTGGTCAAGTGAGTTGCTTTGGTGAGCTTCCACTAATATTCTTTGAATATCAAGCAATCTTCTACTAGACCGATATTATTATCCAGGACGATCTAGAGATCATCCTATATGATCAGTATAAATTCAGCTCAATCAGCCAAGATGATTTGGGATGATCAGAAGGAAATTTGTTCCTATCATCCAGGATGATAGTACATCCTGTACAATTAGTTCAATTAGTTGAATATCGTCGAGAGAATAGCCCTGAATGAGCTAGGCCGATTAAACATCGTCCAGGAAGAATTAAGGTTTTGTTTAACATATCGTCCCGGACGATCATGCGATCGTCCAGGACTATATGATCATTCAATCAACCTTAATTACTTTTTATAATTACAAGATTAATTTAGGAATAATTGAAGGACATCGTCGAGGCCGATGTCCTGGATGATGATTAAAAATTAAAGATACCTAAATAAATCTAGTGATTGATTCTTTCTGATTTAAGCCTATCATCCTGGCCGATATGAATATCGTCTAGGAAGATGTGCTTAATGACGGCTGCCTTAACCAGGATGTCCTAATTATGATTTTTATTTTTAACTGATCATCCAGGATGATTTATGGATCATCTCGGATGATGTGACCAAAAATAGTAAACTCTAAAAACAGTCAAAAAATTTCTCCCAAGTGTGTGTGCAAGGTTACTTAGCATCATAAATCAATTTGTTTATAATTAACTAAAGAAAAAAATATTACAAACTGACTCAAACCTAGTCTATCCAATCTTGAGCTGATTCAAATTACAGTTTTGATCTCGTGAACCTGAAAAGTTATTAGGAAAGGCAGTCGTAGAGAAACAAAAGTGTTTGCTATCATTAAAATTTTATTCCTTGAAATCAGATTTGTAACAATAAGCCCATCCATGACATTGTTTATTGTTTTTAGATTAATTTGTGGTGGAAATTCTATATTAATAAAACTTTATGGTCCAATTTCGTGCATAAGAAGTATTGTGATAATTTTCAGCCTATTATGTAATTAGTAGCTTGAAATATAACCACGTACGTAATTCTGAAATGTTGAAATGATGAAGGGGCACAGTTTTAGTAAATGCAGCCAATTTTGATCGGTTCCAATTAGGCCTCATTTTTTTTAGTGGGGCCCATGATTTTTTTGGGTCAAAATCGGCTGCATTTACTGAAGCCATGCCCCCAAGGGGTGTGTCATTTCTACATTTCAGAATTACATATGTGGTTATATTTCAAGCTACTAATTACATAAGTTATGATTATTAAGTTAGTGAATTGTGTATTTATTTAAATGTCTATTTCTTGCTATATGATATCTCTAATACGATGTCATAAATAGTATACATATAATCTTATATACTATACAATTAATTAATATAGACTTTAATATCCATTTATAATAAAGTATATACCTATATATATTTTTGGACTTCTGGAATTTCAACGTCCGAAAATAGGGGGCAACTGATATATCCTCAAAAATTACCTTAATCGGGCACAAATCTAAAGGAAAATTATGTTAGAAATTTTAAAAATTAAATTGGAGACCAGCTGAACTCGAATTTCAGCAAACTTACAGTCGAACTGAATGACTCAAAAATATGAATCTAATTACACTAAATTCGGCTCAATCCGAGACCAAATGGGTCTAAATTGAAGACCTGAAACGCATTTGGATGGTTTAAATCATAATTGGGATTATCAAAAAGTTTCCAAACATGACATGCTTATAGTCGAATCGAGCGGCTTGACGACACAAATCCAACGAACCCAAGATTACCAAATTCTGATATCATTAAG